CAGCAGGAACTAATTTGCAAGTGAATTTACTTTTTTACACTTAATCCATAACTGGCTTCTGTGCATGGTGATGACAGCCAATAATCTTTTTAAAAAGTAATTCTAGGGTGGTTAGGTTCCAGCAGTTTTCCCAGGATGATGAGTCAGTACTTTCTTGCAGGCTTATAAATGTTTTGCAGCAACCTGCATTGCTTTGTATTTCCTTGTCTGTTGAGAAGGCTGTTCGTTGCTATTGGGTGTGGTTTTGATTCTGTGATGAAATAGACAGTCTTGATGAAATCAGAACAAGAGGAAGGCAACTATGAGGAAGGCTATCTATGACAGCAATATCCTTAGTTTGGGCCGTGGGTGTTTTTGTGCTGTATTTTTACCAATTTTCACAAAATGGCCTAAATGACTTATAATGTGATCCCTTGACAGTCAACAGATGCATTCAGGATTCTCCACACTGCATCATTCTATGAAAGTGTCATTTCTGACAGCAGTTATTTCCACAAGAGGGGTGGAACAGATTCAGGCAGATCATTTTGATATAGTACTCTGGAGAAGTCCTGCAGATCCATCTAAGTTTCCTTCCAACGTGGTCTTCAAAGTTCACTTTAACCAGAGCAGCTTATATGCCTTCGTCCTTGAGGGTCATACCTCTAGAGCTAAGGCTGTCTTTCAGATCTTCCCTATCAAAATGTCTTACTTGGAAGGACTATTCAAACAGTACTCAAGGTTGCTTGTGTCAATAGCTTTCAAACTGAATCATAGAATCATGGAATGGTTTGGCTTCAAAGGGACCTTTAAAAATCATCTAGTTCCAGCCACCCTGCCATGTGTAAGGACATCTTCCACTAGAATTGGTTGCTCAAAGCCCCATCCAACCTCTCCTTAAAAGGAGAGGAATAGTCAAAATAGGGACCAGACTGAATTAAGGCCTTAAAGTAGTATATTCCACCAGAGCTGGAGCTACTTTGATGGCTTGCTGAGAAGTGTGTCTGTTCTGGACACCTTTCACGCAGCTCTGTGGATCTTTAGCCATACCTTCACTGCGAACTGCAAGAGCTGTTGTGGTTGAGGTAAATGCTTAGCTGAGCAGCTGTCATTGCTGTTGATTATTTGCATGAACAGCTCAGGGGCTCATCTTCAGGTTATTACAGGTGTGGGACATTACTGCTTAGATTCAAGTGTGAAGGCACAAGTGTATTACCACTCAAAGATAAAAGGAGAGGTTGTTGAGGGGTAACTGAAGCTCCATCAGATATTGCTCACATGTATGTTCACTAGCACTCTCCTTCGCACCCCCTTAGCATTCTCCTAGGCTGTGCTGGCACTGGGCCGTGGAGACAACCGAGGTGGCCCTGGGAGCAGAACATCTCGTATGCTTGTGCACTGCAGTAGCCATGCACCTGCAGATACACTTTGGATACAAAACCTCTCGTCTTGAGTGACAGGGCATCTGTGGGATGAATTTATAGGTGGTCCGCATATCTCAAAATATTCTGTTAAGTAACCTCTCATTTATGTTAGTCCACATAGCACTCTCATTAATAAAAGTAAATAGCAATGGTTAATAAGAGCAGTGGTATGTACAAGGATGACTCCTTCCTACTATAAAGAGATCTCTCTAGCACACAGTTTTTTAACCAGAAATGAAAACATCACATTTAGCACTCCTTTTGAAAAGAAATGCCTTGTAACTATGTCATGCTGTGGGAAAACAAATCTCTGAATTTCATTCTTATATGTGTAGTGAAGTAATTGTAGTTTTAGTACATAATTTTCTGCTAAAAACATCTGGGTTTATAAATAACTGGAGACATTAAACAGGACTTTATTCATAAAGAGAGGGTATTTATTTTAAATGCAGTTACTCAAATTTCTCAGTACCAATGGCTGGTTTTAAAAGTGGTTCGCTTACCCAAAAGCACTCAAAAGCCTAACTGTGCGGCAAATCTAGAAGCAGTACAAGGATTTTGCTCACTAAGAAGCTATGTACTGAAATGTTTCTTACCTAAACATTTTGGGTTCTCTAATTGCCATCCAAACATTATAAAGCTCAGCATACTGTGTTAGCTGAGTTTTTCCCATCACAGAATGGGCAATGAGCTTTTTATGAGAACATTACCATTCTGTGAAATATGCATCATCTATTGCAACACTACTGCAGTTTACCTGAGAAATACTCCAAACAAAATTTGTAGAAAGATATTTACTTTTTTCTACAAATTAACATTTTCTGACCTGTATCACAACTTTTTAAAAGTTGTTTGGGTTTTGGGGGATTTTGTTTTTCTTTTTTTTTACAATTTGAATAAGTAATTTCTTTTTAATTTGGACACTACATGGATGAGTTTTTAAGCCACCCGAAGCACTCCAATTAAAATCAGTACGCAATACTCTCTCCTAAATACCTTTTAAAATCTGATCTGTGGTTATTTAGCCACACAATGAGAGATAACAAATCTTTCATCTATTCTCTCTTCTAAAGAACTTTTATTTGCAGAACTTTTTATATCTCGCTCTCTAACTACATGACTTAAAAAAGAAAATTTGACTTAAAAAATTAGCTGTCTGCTCTGCGCTATTAATCTGTAAATTGCAGAGAAGGGATAGCTGCACTATATGCCTGTATTATGCAGTTTTATGTACAAAACCTTCACATGTACTGTTTCTACGTTTGATTTTTTGATTGTAATATTTGTATTATGAACATAAAATGCAAAAAAAAAAATTCAAGATTGGACTTCAGTTGTTAACTTCATGCTGTAATGTGAAATTAACAGAAAGGTACAATCCATATTTCTTATAGCATTTGGGGTACACAGTTCACTGAAAAAGAAATCTATTTTTTTTCAAACCGAATAGAAGTAATAATAAAACCCAGTAATATATAAACCCATGTTTATTTAATGTGTGCAGCATAAGCATATTATCTAGAACATCTAATAGTAGAAGCTTCTGAGCAGGATAGTAGCTAGTATATTTAGACCAGAGATTTAAAAGATGATTTAATTGCCCAGATTCAAAAGGCTTTAAAAGTTTGAGACTGGGAAATGTTAGTCTCCATTCTCTGGAAAAATCAAGTCACATAAGATGTCTTACTTATGATATCCAAGGTACCTTGGCTTGGATGTCATATCCCGAGTAAAGCGAAGCATAACAAGGCAGTGGTTGCTATGAGCAATGTGCTGTATGCATATGACAGGTGTATGCCATGGTAAGTAAGTCCTGCATTCCTGGTACCTGGATTCATACCTGGTTAGGTTTTGAAGGCATGATGGAATGAAACTGAATCTCCTCCTAGTCATTTTGATTTCTTCTGAAAACCCAGGCACACAAAAAAAGCAGGAGCTGCACTGCTTTTCAGTTAATTCTCCAATTTGGACTTTTGGGACCACCATTATATGATGTATCACAAAGGGCACCTTCTCCACACTCAGGATGGAGCGGTCAGTGGCCAGGACTGTGGATCACACCATGGTCTACACTTGCTCTGTAGTGTAAAAACAGCCATTTGTGCTGTGAAATAACTCCAGGGATATTAGATCATTTCAACACAGTCCGTTTCTCCCAAGTGTTCACATGGTTTTGCCCGAGAACAAGTCATTGGAAGATTTCTTTTAGTGTTTAGTACTCTAGTACTTTAATACATGTCTGTATCATGAAAACTTAAAAGTATGGTTAGTTAAAGATGGTCAAGAAGATCCTGTCTCTTCAGATGAAAGTTATAACCCTTGAGCTCAGGCGTGAGAAGCTGGTTTGTCTGGTCTCATAGATTGTGGTTTCAGAATCATAGTAAGACCATTAAGGCACTCCATCACCAAGTAGAGCAGTCTCATCCTTACCTTCAGCTGTGGGTTTCCACCGGACATGGTAAATCAAGTTGTTTTGGTGATCCACATGAAAAATAACCTTTAAAAAGACTCCAGATTCCATCCAGATCAGTGACCTACTTATGTGGTCATAAATTTTCTAGTACCAACACAAAGAGCGGGTTACCAGTATGTGGTTAGGGAAGGACGATCTTTCAGCAACAGTTTTCACTTAGGTCAGCTGAAACAAACTGTAAAGCTGCTTGCTGGTTTGTTACACTGCCAATTAAAACTGGATAAGGTTAAACTACTGTTTGAAGGAAGCGTAAGTTAGTTTAAAGCTAGAACCTCCTTGACTGCTGATACGCCTGTTCAGAATGTTTTCATAACAGGGACTGAAATAGTCAGTCTTCTTCCCAAAATTGATCATTTGAAGGTATTTCTGCTTTACTTTGTCATTACAGGTGTGAATTTATTATCATTGTGTCTGGTAACTGCTTTCTTACTCTGTTAAGTGTGTATGTGCCTCTTTTCCAGTATTCTTTCAGAAGGATATGAATTATTTCCTTCTATCTGCAATAATGAAAAAGGATAACTATTACAAAACTACTAAATCTGAAGTCTGCATGTGCTTTGGTAGTTCTATATTCATATGTATGACAGAAAACACATTAAGTGCTACTGAATGATGTAGCAGTCTAATTCCTATATTTGACCATAAACAAGGAAAATTAGAACTGGTCCACATGGATCAGTCATGTCATATTGTTTCAGAAGGTATAACTAGTATAACTAGAATAGGTTCTGTTTCTGTAGTTGAAATTGAACCCTAGAACATGAACTTCTGCTTTAGTCATGAACACTGATGTTTATGCTTATTCAGTACACTATTTAAGGCATAAAGGAACTTTTATTATTGCTTCTCTAATAAGCTTCTGAGTCATTCTCTAAAAGGATTGGTTTATGCTGTTAGGAAGTACAGGAATCCAAGAAAAACTGACATATCAGTAAGTTACAACACATGAACCCAGGAAAAGAAATAGTACAGCAATTTCATCATGATTAAAAATGACACAGAAAATAAAACTCTTGAAAATATTAAAATATCTTTGTAGTTTTTAATAGATTTTACTACTTTCCTTTTAAATAACTCAGACAATTTGGCCAAAGCATACAATTTTTCTGAGAATTAATGAATACCTAGAAGGAATTGACAGTCATAATTTACAGTACAGAGCTTGCAAGGAATTGCCATATGTTCTCAGGGGCAAAGGATGATGTTGCTTATTTGAAACAAGCGGATGATATGCAGTCAATTAAAGAAAAGGTTGATTTATTTTGTTGATCATTTTTTGATTAAATACTGGGAATATTAAATAATTTGTGTTTATGACACATGTAATTGCTCCATTCCATTTATAAAACTTTAATACATTTGCTTTCAAAGTCCTGACCTGTATTCAGTATTACATATTTGCACTCCATATGCAGAATTGCATTTTGCATAGTTGTTCATTCATGTTATATGCATAGTTGTTCATTTATGTTATAGTTTATATTGTGCAGCCTATTTAGTTAAGTCATGATAACGGCATATCTAACTTTGGTCTTCCAAGAAAATCTCTGTGGCTGTTTTAAGAAACTAGATTATATACTGGCATTATGCATGCATTAGTTTGAAGTTTATTGTTGGAAACTGATGTTGGGGCTAAATATGAAAACAAGTTTAATTATATTAGAAGTGCTGCCTGGAATCAGAATGTGTATGCTAAACATTTCAAATTTTCATATTCTATAACTAAGAAAACAGAGAACAATTAAAGTTAAAATTTTCATTGTGTTATAAAAGCATGCCTTCGTGCTAAAACAGTTTTCGTACTTAGTTTACAGGACAAACTTGATCTCATGCATTATCCTGTAATATAAAATGAAAAATGGGAAAAATACATTTACAAATTCTGCAGAAGCTACACAGCTAAAGGGAAGAGCTGAATGTTGTTCTTCCTTGTATTTGTTATTTTCAAATTTCTAAATACAGTAGTATAAAAAGAGGTGATACTGAGAGAACAGCATGTGCTGCTACTAGTGGTGCATACAACAAAGAGAACCACATTTTGTTACAGAAGTGTAGATATAAGGAAACTTACTTTGCTTATAAAATGAGCTCATTTTGCCTAGAAAAAACCAAGAGATAATAAAAGAAGATTCTGATAATTTCAGTTACCATTCAGAGAATCAAAACACACACACCCTGTATTTTATGAATATTTTGAATACTATTTCTGTTTGACTAAAACAAGATTTTGTATGAATCGGTACATTCAGGCCCATTTATAAAAATTTTAATGCTTGAACATAGAGAAGGATCATTTGATACAATTACTTGTGCAGATTTTCATTGCTGCCAGTATTTAGCTTTGGAAAATGCATGTTTCAGCCAGAACACAAGATTAAAAGAGATTATCTGTTGCTTACTGCATTTCCTATCGTCTTTCTACCAGTCTTTTAAATAAAGAAAAGACAGCTTTGCTGCGTGTCAAGAATCAAATGGCAGCAGATTTGGAGAGACTTCTAAATCACCGTGAGGTAATCTTCCTGTTTTCGCATTACTACCATAAGTGCATTTTTTCTCTCCTCAGCCTTAAACCATGGGAAAAAAATGGTTTACTTTGGTTTGATTTGCTGGGTTTTTTTGTCTGTGTCGTTTTCAGAAACACAGGTGATGGTGTCTGTCAGGCACTCAGGAGGATCTCAGTTGTACTCTTAGTTGTACTCTCAGTTGCTAAATTCTCTCTGAAGACTTAGTCTCACTGTTCTTTCTTATGCGCACAACAGACATTCCTTGCAAAGTGTTTAGCATTTGCAAGCATTTAACAAGTGTTTAGATAAAGGTGATAAAATTGATACACGTAATCTACAAGTCCTGCATGTGCCACAGCATGCCCCAATATCTGTCCTTGCTCCCCAATCATTAAGACCAAAAACCTGGAAAAAGCATTGCTAAATTCATTTCCAGTACATACATGAGTTTCTTTTCAACTCCAAAATAGGATTTGGGGAGAGGAAGCAGGACAATTGTTAGATGTTTTCATCCATACAAGAGTCAGGGTACTACTTTATGTACTTACCTGAGTTTCATCCAAGCAAAGAGTCAGAGTGCTACTGGAATACCCTCTCAGATCTAAAAGTATGGAAAATCTTGTTGTTTAGACATAAATGCTCTGTATGGGGATTCCTAAAAGGCTTTTGTCAAGATTCCTCTCGAAACAATCTTAAGAGACTAAAATGTCATGGAGTGTGAGAGAAAATCTTTCTGCAGATTAAATGTCTGAAACAAAGGATAGAAAAAATGAAGTTTACCAAAGGAGTCCCATACACAAATGATCTGAAAAAGGGTGAATAATAATATGGAAAGTTTGCTGAAGCTACAGAATACTAAACGTATAAAACCAAATGCTGACTGTGAGCAGCTGTTAAATGATCTCCCAGAGCTGCTGAATGATGTGGCAAGGATTTGCAGAGAAAATACAACATTAATGAATCAACGATTTTGAATGTGAGGAAAAACAACACAAGTTATATATACACAGTGATGGGACCTAAATAGCCAGTTACCTGTTCAGAAAGATCATCATAGAGTCATTATATCAATAGTTTTCTGAAAATATCCTTTCAATTCTTTGACTGGGAAGAGAGGAGATGGGAGGATTTCTTTCAAGGAATCTACAACTCCTCTAAATTATCCTGTCTGAGATTGCATTATCACTCATTCTAATACCATTATTTCCATAGAAAACTGACTATCCATGCACCTCTTGAAGTCCTCTCCATGTCCAAAATTGTTCTCCTCCATCTCCTTTCCTTGCTATTCCCCCAGATTCCCTTCTTAGATCAATAGACCAAAACCCATGTCACAAATTGGTCCAAACCAGTTTGTCTCTGCTGACCAGTTACAAAACCATTTTTGTTAGAACCAAACCAAAACAATTTCACTGACAGCTGAGTCTAAGTGAGCCTCAACTTAAGTGAAAACTGTACTAATTCTGTTCCTTGAGAGCAGATCTCAAATGTGAAACAATCACATTAAAAGTAAAAAGAAAACAAGTTCTTTTTTACTTTGATGCTGAATTGCACTGTGTGTTTGTCTGATGTGATTTCCTCTTAGAATAGTTTTTGCATTTAACTCACTGAATTGATTGTAGTGCTTCTGAAGTTCCATGCATAGAGATTAAAATTCTTCTTATTGAAGATGCTTCCCCAAACTGCAGGTGTCATTGGCCTGGCAGGATCATCTGTAGGTGCATCAGAAGTAATCATTCAATAGCTCTTATTTCTGATGTCTGTATCCACATCATATATTTAAATTTCAAATTCAAGACTGAGACTAAGGCAAATGTTTGGTTTGGGTGATATTTGGGTTTGCTTTTTTCTTTCAATTTTTGATGATTTTTTGTTTATATGAAACCCACTGCTTTCTATTAATGTAATAGGAAACATTTAAAGCATTTCTAAATAATTTGTAAGGCTTATCAATATACTGATGCATTATCATATCATTACATTAATGATATGAAAAATACTCTGAGGAAACATGACTTAATTGTATAAACATGTAGTGAATTTTCTGAATTTCCAATATGATAGGCCCTTGGCAGGCTAATTTCAAATTAATTAATTTCAAAATTTCCTGCTCCTACTCCTCTCCCAAGTAGTGCTGCTCCCAAGTAGTTATGCTTTCAAGTAGTTATGCCTTGGGTGCCTAGTTTTAGTAGTGTCATTTCAACCAACATGCATTGCAGCTGATTAAAATCAGTAAAAAGAGATAAATAAAGGTAAAATTTAACAATGTTTTGTAAGAAAACTATAACATTTCTACCTCAAAGCTATGTGACATTGTTTACATCCAAACATTAGCCCCTATGACTACTCACATAAACTGTTCCTGATATGCAGCAGTTTGCTGCTTTGTGTCATTTCACCGCTTAAAATTTTCAAACTTTGGCCAACATGCAAGCAAGGCTGCGTGAGGCAGGCTTTATAAAAAAGAAAGTAAATGTTGGAGTCTGTTTCAGACTTCATCTTGAATGTTCCTCATACTCTGGATGTTAAGAAATTGAGCAATTTTTTCCAAAATTATGACAGTTTTGTCAAATTTCTTCTTATATCTGTTAAAAATAGGCTATATTAGTCATATTGTTTTACCTAACAGTGATGTTTTTTCAAGTCACCTGTGCAGAAAGGGATATAAATACTGAGAAAGAAACATTAGAAGTTGCATGTTTGGGGGAAGAAAATTATGAAGTACCAGTACAACACACAAAACCCCCCTAAGAAACACAAAAATAAAGTTGTTTTAGGAAAATGTGTGAAAATAACAAGTAGCTTGTGTGTGTGTGTGTGTGTGTTTTAGTTTAGTCACTTCTGTTTATTCCTAAAGCATCCTTTTATTTTTTAGCTTTAATGCAGACATCTTCCAGTAGTTTTACAGTTTTTTAGTTTCTCTAAAAGGCAATTATCTCACGTACTGAAATCTTCGTACAGGATAGGGCAACTTAATTTACATAGAGTTAGTCTTCAACTAAAATTTTTTGCCATCTTAATAAAAAAAGAAAATATGCAGTAACATCACAATTTCACAGTAACTATCCCTGGTAATAGAAAAAAAAAACCCAAAACAATCCAGATTTTCTAATCTTGGGTTAGTAAAGACATAACTGCATTTAGACAAGGTATGTGTTTTTAAATAAAAGTAACATGCAATCTGTAAATACAGATTTATGCAATTTGAAAAAATATGAATTATGGGTTTATGTGTTCTGTACATGCTATCACGTAATATGATTACTATCAGTCTTGTTTAGTCATTGCACACACTGAACTGTCATGTCTTGATAGGAATTACCTTGTTGCTCTCGTGTTTGCAAGTAAAGACATCAGAATTCTTGAATAGATAAACCCAAGATATTCATAGTTAACATAAGATGAAGTTTAGGTATGTTAAAAGTACAAGCAAAATGCCAAAACAATGTTAATGCTGTCTTACAGCAACATATTTCAATGAGTATACAGTTTTGACTTAAGGTATTCCAGCCTGTGTGGTCTCAGACTGTATTAACTCTTTTTAATGAAATGTTAGAGTTTGAGGGGTTGGGGGTTTTTATTTTTATCTGCTTGTGATATCTGCTGGATTCATAACACTTGCTTTGGAGGTAATTAGAGCATTTTGTACATTCTTTAAATAAAGAATTTACATTGATGCTTAATCTTACTTCCCTTTTCACATACTTTAATTTTGGAAGAAAAAAGTTAAATATTAAACTCTGAATGTTGGAAGAATTTATATAGGGCTCTTACGTGAGCTCTTTTATTACAGGAAAAAAATGACACTAGGTATTCATGTAATAAAATAGTTCATTATTTCAAATTATGTAGAGAGCTAATTTGATGATGATTATTATATTTTGGTGTGGGAAATTAAAGTGAAAATTGGTCATTTGACTATACACATTCTTAAAAGGTCAAGTCCGCCCATGAAGGAGAAAAACTGAAGCTTTTTTTCTTTTTTTTTTTAGGCTATTGGCCCAAATTCTTACTTCTTTCTTGGCCTCCTATTTCCTCTTCTTCTGAATTAATTAGTAAATTAACATGGAAAACTTTTTAATCTAGCTTCTCATTTTGATCATTTAGAATAAATTGGTATGATAACATTTCTTGTCTTCTTCATATGGATAAATGCAAACTTCACTATTTGAGAGAGGGAGTTCAATGGCGTTATCGTGAATGATCAGTGTCCAGGATCACACTGAGATTATCTTCTTAGGGGTTCATACTAAAGCCTTCACAGCGCTGCCGCCCTCTTTGAGCTATCAGAAGAAACTGGGGTACGCACTATTGTGATGCCAGTTGTAAACCCCTCCGTGCATGATAGCAAGTACAGTTAGTACAGCCAAATTTGGCAGCTGATTTCAGACTAAGAAATTTTATGTGTTTTGTCAAGATAACCAATAGGGGTTTTAATTGCTTTTCCAGATCCATCAGAAGAGCATAAAACATTGTTGGAGGAACAATGGCATCTCACATTTACCTTCTAGTAAACAGTGTTTGTTTTTAAAAAAGGATATTTCAAATCCAGGGGTTTTTTTGCATTATTATTTGTAGTCTATGTTCTCTTTTTAATCAGCTGCACTTTACATTTTTGACCCTCTATCTTTAACTCTGGATAACCAAACCACACCAAAAAAAAGACTTGTAGTCTTGATTCTTCCCATCTAACTTCAGCACTTACTCCCATATTTCGACCCTTGTTGCCCTAGTGTCTTTGTATAGTCAGGGGAGCATGAGTAAGAAGGATGTTCCTTCAAAGCATAAATCAAGATAAAATTATACATTATGCCCAAGCTGACCCAGTAGCTCTAACACTGCCTTACCTCTTTGCTCCTGATTCTCCTTCTCTCTCCTCATCTTGCACCAGCTCTGGCACATCAGTTACGCTGCACTGGGACCATTCAGATCACTAAACAGAAACCTAACCTGACCAAAAAAAGAAAACCACAAAAGTAAATTGCTGTCTGTTAGGTTAGCAGTTT